TCAGTCACAAGAACGTCGAATCTGAATCACTTGAAAAAAACACGGGGGGGCTTAACTTTTTTCCAGGTGTATATATGTTGTAAAGAGAATAAAATAATTGTTTCCATTGTTCAGGCAGTGTTGCTGGTCTATGACATCACCAATTACAGCAGTTTTGAGAATCTAAATGACTGGCTTGGAACTGTGCATCAGGTTTGTGGAAGTGAAGGAGGATTACCTCATCTTGCCCTTGTGGCAAACAAATGTAAGTTTTTGTTGTTGAAATTCAAAACTGAAGATCAAAGCAAAAAGCAATAAATATCTTTGGGAAATTCATATTAAGGAAACAGATAATCCTGTTACAAAACTTATTGAGATATGTAAAATATTGTTACATTAACTGTTGTATATACAGCTTGTGCATTTCTATATCTATCACATGATGTATTTTACATCTTTTAAATCCAGATATTTATCATGGGTAACTTTCTCTTAGCTCTACTCATTTAAGTTGCATATATTTGGTAACTATAAATCTGGTGCAGTTGTGTAAAGTAACACATTTATACATCTGGATACTTACAGTAATTTTCTGAATATGATATGCTCCCAAACATAATATGCACTCTAATATTCATGAATAAAGAGTCAAATTTGCCTTATCACTATACATATTATGCTCCTAGAAACATTTCCTCCCTGTGCATACTTAAAGACAGTGGTTTTGTTTTTATAAGATTGCTTTAAAAATACACTATGAAATCAAAGCTTGTCACAACAAAGCTGCATTGCCTGTTTATGGTTCAAGTACTGACATTTGATTCAGTGCTTGATTAAAGAAATTGGGGCCATTATAATTTCACAATGTCGATATAAAAACACCTAACAACTCATGACAGAAATTCTCATATCTCTCTCGTTACAAGATTGGTCTATTCAACCGATAACATGATTGCAAATTGACCTTCATAATTACCATGCTATAACTTTTAATGTTTTTCTGTATCTTCACAAAATTTTCCAAGCTTTTAGTAAGCATCACAAGTCTTGCAGACAAAAAATTAATATTTTTAATTAAGTATTTTAACTAAGCTTCTTGATCATTTTATTTCAAAAATCATGTTTAAAGATACTGAAAATGAATGAAAACAGGAGACAATTCTTATTTATGCCTTAGAAATGGAGAGAATTAATAAGACATACCGTCAAAACACAACATTTCTAGTAAGTATATAATTCACAACAAAAACATTTAGATTTGTTACCATAACTTCTAGATACATTTTTATGAAATATAATGTGTATTATATTAAAAAATTATGGTATTCTAACAGATTATTGAATAATTGCTTTTCCACGTTATAGAAATTAGGGGTAAATTAAAATTTTCTGTATATCTAATACATATCACTATATTTGACCTTGATATTTTAACTTAATTTTGTTATGATACATAAATTTGGTCTGGGCTAAAATGCTAATTTCTAGAGATGTAATGGACTGGAGCTGTTGCACCTTTTCCTAATGTAATTTCATATTTTATATTATAAGTGAAAAACTTTCAAAAAAAATTTAGATCTAATGAATTGTGTATCTCTGGAACTGTGTGGGTCTTATTTTCACAGACATTTGTGCAAGTGTGTTGGTTTTATTTACCAATTCTGTGTGGGTGTTGTACTCTTTTTTTTTTATTATATTTTATATCCATTTGATGTGACAGTTAACAAAAAATATTTTTTTTTATAATACACTTCTATACACACATACATATACAGTACTGTGTGTAAATTAGAGACCACTCAATCATCACCATGGGTCTTGAAAATGATCTTAAAGATCAAAATCCATATGGGTATCTACTCTTAATAAAATATGCCATTACAAGTTGAAAATCCTTTGTTAACTCTGTTAGTTGCTATTGGCATTGATCCTGTCTCACTTTATGAAGTAAATTCAAGTCTTATTTTATAATAGTGGGTAGTGCATTGATTTTGTACCTTAAAAGTACTAACAAAATCCTTATCACTGTGAGATGGTACAGTGGTTATTCAACAAGTTATTATGAAAATAAATAACACTGTTCTTGGTGTGTTTTTTAGTATTGAATGAAATAATTTTAGGGTTTAAATAATTTTGGTTTCTTAGTGTGTCTTTCTTTGAGTTAAAACCACTTTTTATATATGAATTTGTCAGTGTTTTTTTTTTTGGCCTTCAGTAACATGAGGGTTTTTAACAAAGATATTTAGTGCTCTTCCTGTTTTGATGGAGATTTTGACATGAACGCAATGAAGTGTTTCATTTTATATGTTTGTTTTTTTGTCCATGTGTGAAATCTTATTGCTTATGACATATATAGTGGCAACACAAGAAACAAGGGTGACAACAATGCCTTGCTCATAGAAAGGATTTATGAGAATCAACCTTTAGGCATGCATTTTGGAACAAAAGGGGTAAAAGGGGAACTGATGGAAAGATAAGGGGTGGTGATAAAAATGTAAATATATTACTGGTAATGTTATTTTAATTAGTTACACTGCAACTACTGTATATAGAGGACTGTACTTGAATTGTAAAAAGTTAACAAGAGAAACCCTTGAAATCTATTCACAGATGCATGTTTGACATTCAGAGTCTCAGTTTTTTTCCTTTGTGTTAACAAGCACTGATAGTAGTTGTTGGAGAGTGGATGCAATTTCCCCCATACCATTGCTGTCTTTATTGAAAATTATTAAAAATTATTTATTGTTTAAAAGAAAAAAAACAACATGGGAGGAGTGCAGTGTGGGAGTCATAGTGCACCTATAGCCAATATCTCTCTTTTAGACTCGATAATGTCATAACATAGATTTGTATCTTAGAAAACTCGGTTTGATTTGTAGCCTATATTCAATTAGGTATATTCCAAATGTAAATTAGTTTAGATATTAAAAATTTAAAGTAAATTTTACGTAAAGAAATCATTGATATTTATGGATACAAAAAGTGGAAAATTATTTTTTGAATCCTGTTGTAGAGAAATATATTTTATGATTGTACAAAATATCTACTACCTCAAAAGTCTTTTTAAGTTTCTCATTGTATGTATTCCAAAGATTTATACTTTAGAGAAAACAAAACATTTTTAGAGGTTAATACAATTTTAGAACTGATGGATTCATACATGCACATATAACTATGGCTTACTTCGTACATGTTTATAGATATTTAGTTTTTCTAAATAGCATGAATGTTCTCAAAAGCATATGCTAAAATAACATTTCTAAATCTTCTGTAAGTTTGACCTTTCAACTTTATATGATGTATATTGGTAAATTTTTCAGAATAAAAGTAGTAAAATATATTCAGATTTGTTTATATATATTTGTGTGTTTTACCGTAGTAAAATTTTGAAAGTTCATGTAGCGGTTTTAATGGGTGTTTCATTCAGTATAATGAAGTTCAAAGTATTCATGAGTACTTAATGTGTGAAAAACTTCCCCACTCTATAATAATTATATGTATACATATATCTCTTGTAAAATTCATCATATAAGAGAACAACATGCATTTTCATAAAACAAAAATAAATGAAAGGGAAAGAAAACAGTCAAAATATTTTCGATTAAGAAAGAGAGAGGAAAATTTTTACAAAATATTTGACAGATTTCAAAATATTAATAATACTTAGCGGAGAACTTAGATACATAAAGATAATAGCAAATTCACTGTTTTCAAATATTTTTATATCTTTTTAAGAGTTATATCAAAACAATTTCCAATTGTGCTTCTGTGACTTTGATTTTTTTATTAACCCTTTCACTACAGCTAGGTAAGAGTGCACATAACAAACTTTTACAAAGTTGCATTTAAAAATTAATTAAAGTACTTTGTTATCAGTGCATACAACCAAACATGGTGTCAAAACATAGTTAATAAATCTAATTTATAATTTCAAAACGAAATATTTAAATAAATTCTTCATCTCCACTTGTGCTTGTGGCATTTGTTTGCTCTGACTTGTCTGTTTTCTATTCTTTTATCACCCTTACATGATGTTCTGAGTTTAATGTAAATTACTCATTATTGTATAGATATTACTAAGGCATAGTTTAATATTTTAGCCTCCAATCTTCTTTGTTTAAAGAAATATAAACCAGAAAAACAAAACCACTTGCCATTCCCTCCCGTCACATCCTCTCTTTGCTATTACATCATTTATAACTAATGGAATGACATAGTTTTAATTTTCTTAATGGCATACACTTCTAGATTTCAATTTATTTTGTCTTCAGTTTCAAATTTGATAGCACTGAGTTCAGATTGACCAATTTAGGGAATTTTTCTAAGACACTTATGCATTAGGTATAAAGCCAGTTAAACTGCAATAGTTATAGGAGATTATTTTGTGTTTTTAAATGAATATTTGAATCAGATAAAAATTATTTGTTGTAATTGTACACTCATTAAAGAAAAAGTGAGGTCAAGTTTCATCAGAGGGATGACAGCAAAAATCCAGAGGCCAGAAGTATGTCCTAAATTTCTTGTATTTTATTTATATTTCACATGTATTGTCTTAATAGTAACTAAAATGTAAAAAGTAGGATATTATTAGGTTAGATAATGAAAAAATAATAATAAAAAAGTTTATCCATGAGATATCCTCATGAATAACTCATGCATTATATAATACAATACAGTAAATTGTGCTATGCGTTTACCATGTGAGGTACAACTTGACATACGTGATTTAATTTTAGATGTGATTCAAACAGGAATAAAACAATAAAATTAAATATAAACACGTGTAAACTGTTATGAACTTTAAGCTGTTTAAAATAAACTGTTGTAATTTTCCATAAGTATCTGCAGTAATTCTAGAAATAAAGGGGGTATAATTTAGATTTATTTCATACTGGTTATATGGTTGGTCAGATTGACTGAATTTATATAGTGTAAGGGTAGAGAAAGTGACAGATAAAATATAAAGTTTTGCTGCAAAAACGTTTAATATTCATTTAGGTGTTAGAGGATATGCAAATAAAAAATTATAAGATGAAAAAATAATAATTTTCACCTTAACATGAAAATCACCTTGCATTCAGACTAATCAGAGTCTGAGTCAGACTCTGACTCCATAAATGCACAGACAGATCTTTATTGAAAATTGTTAAATCTGATTTTATGTGTCAAAGGACTTGTTTGTTTTCTAAAAATTTGCCAAATTTCTTGAAGATGCACTAGTATGCCCTAATGGGTCAGTTGTAAGTCTGAGGACTTTTAACGATAAAAATTAGGTTTTTATACCTGTGGTGGGCAGATCACTGATAGCCCATTGTATAGCCTTGTGCTTAACAATAAACAAAACAAAAAATACACTTGTTACATTAACATTTATAGTATGTATACTTTCATGATTACATGTTGGTTGCAAGGTAAGTCAAAATGACCAAGTCTATATTTCAAATCTTGGCTCATTTATCATCATTTATCTTATCATGCAGTATTATTTAAACTTAATTTATATTAAATGTTTTCATCATTAATTTGAAAAAAAAAACATACTAGAAAATGATCTTGTTTTTGTGCTATTAATTAATGTTACACTGTAACATTTTTTATTTCTGGAATTACCTTTCAATCTGTAGAGTCACTAATTTTTCTTTCATTTACAACAGGTGATTTAGAACATCTTCGGGCTGTAAGACCAGACAAACATATCAAGTTTGCTCAATTAAATGGAATGTCTTCTCATCTTGTGGCTGCTAAAACAGGAGAATCTGTAAGAAAAAGTCATCAGTGTTCAACTTTTTGGTTAGATTTCTAGGTTATTTAGAAAATGTTGTATACCTCTAATATTTATTTTGTATAATGAAAGTTCAAATATGATCATTCACCTCCTTACACAGAAAGCTGATTTCCTATTGAAGTCATTTATCTGCTTGAGAAACATGCATGCCACCAACCTTTTAATAACTCCCACCTAAAATTCACTTGCTGAAGTTCTTTATCTGTGGAAGATGTGACATCCATCTTGCATCATGTGGCAGTTTCCTCTGCATTCATCCCTTCCATTCAGTTCCAGTGCCATTTTTTAGGGTCTGACACCCAGTACTTCTCAACCTAATTAATATCTTTCAACTTTTCCATTTGTCTTATGTAACCCTCTACTAGTGGTTTCTTTTCCCAGTTAGTTATTTCAGCACCTGACATTTTCTTTGGTTTTAACTTCACTCCTTCTGTTTTATGCCTCGTCCTTCCTGTCTTATAAGGTAACACGTAGAAGTTACTGTTTAGATATGGTTTATTCCTCCTTAACACATAACTCCTTGGTCTTAATGTATAAACATCATTTATTACTCCTTAATTCTCTCAACACAGGTTCAGTCATAAACACTTCTGTACTCATTATAGTTTACATATTGTAACTTTTAATACACTTAGTGTATCTTCATAAAATTTGGTAGACTTTTAGTAAACATTATAAGTCATTTGTACACAAAGAATCAGATTTTTGAATGAAGTATTTTTTACTAAAGTTTTGTTTGTGAATATAGATAGTATTCTTTATACTAGTCTGAGTACTAAGTGATTTTCATGTTAAGACTAAAAATACTTTTCTTCATCTCAAAATCTCAAATTTCATATGTATAATCTCTAAAACCTCCTAAATAAATTTAAAACATTTTTATTCAATAAAACTTTATATTTTATCTGCTATTTTCTCTACCCTAACTTTATACAAGGTTGGTAAATTTAACTGACCTCGTAACCACTAAAACAAATATTGAAATGAATTTAAATTACCTCTTTTTCTTTCTAGAATGACTTCAAATTGTAATATGAAATTACATTTGTTTGTCCTAAATAATTTAAACTCATAACAGTATACATCTATTTATACTTAAATTTTATATTTTATTGCTCTTTGAACCCTGTATAATTATTATTTGCACCATTATAAGTTGTAAATCACTCAGCGAACATGAAGCTCACGTTATGCTGTCAAATTCATTATGAATGAGCTACATGCAAGTATACCTCATAAACGTTTTTACATTATTGTTATTTTTTTCACCTAATCTAACCTTAACTAACATAAAAGTTTCCTTTTTTTACATTTTATTTACTTTTATAATAAGAGATAAAGAATTCACATGAAAAACAAGAAAAAGTACTTAACTGTATCTTCTTCTTTGCTATCAACTGTTGATGACACTTAACCCTACTTTTTATAGTAATGTTAATACTGCACTATATATTTGTTTATTTAACACTTTCAATACGGGCTCAATATGACTTACCACATGACTTTTTTGTATTCATTTAATAGTCTAAAGATTTAATACTTATAACTCTCAATATAGTGGCTATATCTTCACGAAATTTGGTAGTCTTTCAGTTAATATTACCAGTCTTTCACATACAAGAACTTGTATTTCTTAGTGAAGTATTTTTAATTACATACAGATTTGTCCATGGATTTATTGAGTATTTGTTTTGAATAGTCCGTGTGCAAATTAATTTTCATTTTGAAATTAAAAATACTTTTCCTCATCTCAAAAATCTCAAATTTTCTTTATGTAATTCCTAAAACCTAAATGCATTTCAAAATTTTTTCTGTACAACTTTATAGTTTGTCTGTTATTTTCACTACCCCGTCTCAAAACGGGATTGGTCAATTTGACTGACCTCGTAACCACCAAAAAAAAAATCGAAATAAACCTAAGTTAACCTATTTTTTTTCTAGAATGACTTCAAATTCTAACATGAAACTACATTTGTTTATCTTATGTAGCTCTAAGTTTATAACATTATACATCTAATTATAATTAAATTTTATTGTTTTATTGAGACTGTCAGTGATATTATTCATTGTGAGATGGAGACATATTTTTCAGTTTGGTGGTGTTCCTCTGGGGGGTTCTGAGGCTGCAATTGAGGGTGGTCATTCTGGAGATAATTGCTATTAACTTTTTCCTGCACCTTTTTTTATTCTGTTGGTTTCTCAGGAGGCCACTTTGAAATAACCTGCCTCAGGCAAATTTTCTTCAGTTGGTCCATTGAGTGTATGATGTTTTGGGTCTTTCCCCAGCTGCTTTTGAGCCTGCACCGTACTTTATGGCTGAAAAGTCTGGGAGTGAATACTTAGTTTTACCTCCATCCACTGACATTGTGGTTCATGCAGGGAGGTTTACTGCTCAGTTACATGAAGGGACAGCTATGCCTTGTCCGCCACAGTTGTGGGAACTACGCGATTCAGCCTACCATCACCGGGTGGATGAATATTCTGACTCTCAAAGAATACATCTGCTCCTGAAAAATTGGGGTTATAGAGCAGTGTTTGCACTTAACCTGATAGATCAATGTCCTTTGGTGGGACAGCAGTAAGTTTACGGAACATTCGATTCCCTGCAATGGATACAGTAGATAGTCCAATGTGTTGTTTTCCTAAAACAAACAACTTTCTAGGATTTGTCTTACCCTGTATAGATGGTACGAAATTATTTATTATCCCCGTAAACTTTGTTGAAAGGCTCTCAGGATCACCAAGTCCATTGATGATGAGCTGGAACCATTGTTAGCATGCATATTGATTTGATTGTCCTTGTTGTTGTTGGCATCTCAACTTTCATTGGCTCCTACAGGAGGTCATAGTTCTACCCCTATTCAAGGGTCCCAACCCCCAACATCAGTTCCTTAGTAAATTGGTACTCAGATTCTGTTCATATCCAAGGGTTCTATTGCTCAGTTAAAATGCCGCCATTAGCATCAGTGACTATTGTATACCTTCAGGGTCTGTGGGGGCTCAGATCTGAGAATTTCTGGATGTGTGGTAAACCTTAACCATGGATCCATAAGCACTACAGGTTCTTTAGACAGAATTAGTCATTCAGTTCACATCTTCACCACCATTATCCATCCAACCTGTAGGGTTTCTGTCTCCCGTAGATCCTTAGATTTTGGAACTTATTTCTAAGGTTATTAGAGTTTGATTGATTTTTCTTGTCTCCACTACCTCACTCTTGGGCTTTGGCAATTGATGCTTTCCATGAGGACGAGATGGAATTACAAATCTAGGTCTTCCCTCCAATTCATATGTTATCCAAGGTACTAACTATGATTTTTTCCAACCCATTTTTGGGTCCTGTTGATAGCACCATATTGGTAGCTACACCCTGGTTTCTGCTTCTGCAGTACCTTCAGGAGTGTCCACTTTTTCTACTTCCTCTTTGGCCATCTCAGTGGAGGCATCCATGATCTGACATGGTACACCCAGCTATCAATAAGCTCCAGATTCAAGCATGAAGATTATGCAGTCCTTCATGAAGCATCAGGGTTTAATTTCTAAGGTTGCCATGTATCTGTCTCAGTCTTTGTTTAGTCCTGCAATAAAATTTTATCAATGGAAAGGACACGCATATTGGCAATTGTGTATTGAGAGGAGGTTGAACCCTCTTTGATCAGAAGTACCAACCATAACTCATTTTTTTACCTGGCTCTTTGGAGAGGGTTTTGCATCTTCCACAGTTGACCTATATAACATGGCCTTATCTTCTATACTAGAGATAAAAATTTTCCTAGTACTCTTTCCCCTATGCAAGTCATTTTGGGTCCTTGGTCCCAAATAACCATTCCAGATACCTAATTTGTGTATTTAGATAGCATTGCATACCCTTTTTTCAACACCTATTTGTGACCTTAGCCTTACGTGCCATGTATCACCTTTCCCTAAAGGTATGTTTTCATTGCTATTGACCTAGAGACATTGTAAGTTTGAGTGGTTTGTGCTGATTTTGTACAGGATGATTTATCACTCTACCTACATCCTCAGACCGATTCTTCTTTCCTAAGACACTGGCAGCCAGGGAAGGAGATAAATCCTTTTCACCAATTCATCTGATCACTATTTCTCACATCTATGACATATCAGATTTTGAAAATTTATTATGTCCAGTGAGGGTATTGAAGGTTTTTTGCCTGTACTAATGCCTTTAGAGATGCTAGACAATGACATTTTATTCATTAGGATCATTCAGTTTCCCAGAATTTATCTGTGGTTAGATTGACAAGGTGGGTATGAAATTAACAAGTATTGCTTATTCTGTCCTCTCTTTGAAGGCGAGGAGGCTTCTGCGAGTCAAGTCTAATCAAATTTGTCACATTTCCATGTCCTTAGTGGCCCACTTGAAGTACCTGCTGGAGGACATTGTGCAGGCTGGTATGTGGACCTCCCCCAGTACTTTTATCTCACATTACTTGCATGATGTTGCAGTATCTTCATCTGAGGGTTTTTGACTACTCCCTGTAGCTATCTCAACCACTTCCTCTAGATTATACAGAGGGGTGAGTATTTTCATTGCTGCAATTGTATCTTCTTTACCTTTCAGGGTCCCTTACCTCATTTTCATGGGATTCCACTCCATGGCTAGTGTTGCCCAGGCAGGTGTACTTTTATCAAACTAATTCTACTTTTACTAGGTTGCAACAGGCTCTGTAGAAATGAAGTGTTCCATAAGACCACCTTAAGGCTGACTGGGTGGTATTACTGTACTATGCTGGTCTGCTACTCATAGACTATCATGAGTAAAGCATATGTGGATCCTGCCAATCATTGGATTGAATAAATTTGAATCGGTTTGCTTTTAAAAATTTAGGAAATTTGGTTCACCTATTGCACTGTTTCCAGAGCAATGTTTTTCAGGATAACTCAACATGCATTACCCCCCAGATTCTGCTTGTGGAGTTAGGGAGTCCTTACCACACCTGGTTTCCAGTCAC